GAAAAATAATGTTACTCCCTCCGTTTATGATAGATCTTCCCAAGTGCCTTTTTTTCTCTGGGAAAGATCTTCTCATTGGCTTTTTTAACATTTAAAATAACATAACAATCCACACTTACATTATTTAATATACCTCACACACCTCACTTAATGTACTCCTCCAACTTTCATTAAGGGCATTTTCATAAACTTACACATTTTTTCAAATCTCCTTCAAAACCACAAAAAGTCAACTTTAGAAGATCTATGGCAGATGGAGGGAGTGATATTTTTACGATTATTACATAATGACTATATACGATTAATTTATGTTACATATAATTTACGAATAATTACTATCATAAAGTTATGCACAATTTTTTTAAAATGCTATGTAAAATTAAATAATAAATATTATGTTACCTATGAGTAAATAATACTTATTTTTTGAAGGAATAAATAATGATTATTGTTATTACTCATTATTTAAAAAGTCACAATACAATATATGTTACTAAATTGTTATCTTCTTTCAAAAAACGAGCAAAAGTGAACCTCGTTTAAAATAATTTTATTTATAGAAAAGTATAGAAATAAAAAGTGCAATTTACATAAATAAAACAAATTCAAAAGTTATAGAATACTAGTAACATATCTATTCTGTTTTATCAAATAATTAATAAAATACATATGTAAAAAAAGTTATTCGAGACCTGTAATAGTAAACACGACTATATTTTAAGGGTGGAAGGAGCAACAATTTAATACTCGCTCTATCCTATAAGAATTAACTTATTTTTTCTTTTTGGAATTAAAAAGGTGTGAAAATCATAAGAATAATAAAAAGTGGTAAAGTTTTTTTAAATTAAGAAGTGAAATATTTTGGATTATGACTATGGTTGTGCTTTGTCCTGTCTTCGTGATACGATTCAAAGTTTAGACTTCTGCTTTTCCCCCTATAGCCAAACATGCATTGGCGAGTGCACTTATTAGTAAAATTATGGAGGATATGGAAATATACTATGATATATTCCAGTGTGTCGGAGTTTCTGTTAAGAAAGAAGCACCTATGAATTTCTTGACTGGCCCATTGGAAGGAAGATCCACACTCAAACCCGCTGGCATTTTGGGCTTTGGATGGATGGGTGAAACTTGTGGGGATTTAGCAGGGGTTTCTCCTCTTGTTGGCTTGGGGTCTGATGTCTTCACGGTGGGCCAGACTAGTTAAAAGCTGCTTCATGCAAAGTGAGCATATAAGAAAGAGCATGCCTTGAAAACCGACATGTGTTTATACCAATTACATTTGACACTTTTTGTTTCCTCGCGCCTGAGGTCGTGGAACTGTGGAGTCGAGTCCAATGGGTCATGCATAATTATGTTATGACCCTCAGATCTATGGATGTAGTTTTAAAAAGACTTAGTTGTGCTATTCAAAAAGGGCTAGCAGCGTAGCTTGTTGTATGATTTCCTTTTATTTCAATGTATTAGTTTATTATGTTCAAAACATTGAAAGAGACATTGTTTTCATCCTCTAAATAAGAATATGCTAGTATATATTTCTAAAAAGAGAAAGATAAATAGTGAACTTTTTGGGACTTGTAAATAGAGTACTTTGTATTATACTAGCATGATTTTACGACGAGTATTAGGACATCTATTTTAATACGATTAGCACAAAATAAACAAATGTTATAAGTTTTATAACATAGTATACATATTTTTTACATAGTTGCTTATTGTCAATGATTGCTTTCTACATCGTCAGCATATTACTCAATTATTATTATTATTTTTGTTTCATTAGACATATAAATCTATTATTATTATTAAGTTAATGTAATAATTTTAACTTTTATTTGGATTAGATGAGATAAAATCATTCGAGTGAGAACCGATCCAATCAGATTAGACCAGACTTGATCCAATCAAATCGTATCAAATCAGATATAATTAAGTCAGATTAGATCCAATTAGATTAGATCAGATCAAATCTAATCTTATTAGACCAGATCTGAATCAATAAGATCAGGAAAATGTAACAGAGCCTTAATCCCATTTCTTGAGTAAGCAAACATCTCAAAGTTGTAGATACGTTGCTATTAGATGCTATACAAAGTCTTCTGAAGTGTAAGATTTTGAAGAAGGCTAAGGAAGTTGAGAATAAGTTATCTTATGTTAGGGTATGTATGTATGTTTAATATAGAAATGTACAAATGTGAAAAAGGCTCAATCCGTAGACAAGGTTGAGTTATTTCCTCATTCATTATTTACTTAAAATGGACAATGTGAGGTTAAGGCAGTCACAAGTTGTGAAGAACAAGTCTCTTGATAAGCTAATGAAAAACCTAAAAAGGGTTGAGTTGAGTATAAATAAGACACAATGATCTTTACATTGATGATGAACTTATAGAACAACTATGAATGTTTACAAAAGATCTTAAGAGATAATGGTTTCAAATGAAGAAGAAGAAAGTTCACACAAAGAAGAGGCAAGTGCTTGATATGGAAATAGAAGACTTGGAGGATGTTGTAGTAACATGAGCCTTCCAATCATTCAAGAACGATGAAGATGATTCTAGTTATGATAATGATCTCTAGGAAAGGTTTGCAACACAACAACAACAACAACCCAGTTGAATCACACTACAGTAGGGTCTCTCTAGGAAAGGTTTGATGTTATTGAAATAAAATGAAAAGAGTCTCTAGGTGCCAACACAAATCTTACCTTTGAGGAATTCATTAAATGGAAATCTTCTTGAAATACTCAGGTCTTGCTCGGTCTGTATATGTCACTCCTTTCTTGATTAATAAGATGCTTAAAGAGTTATTTCATCACCAGCTTAGAATATTGATAAATTCGTTTCATTCTTATATTTTTCTCAGATTTAAATGATTTTGTTTGTAAATTATCTGATAATAATAATTATTATGGGAGTATAGTTATGATAGTATTTGTACTTTAGTCAGCTTCAATTATTGATTCGTATTCCTAGTTTGGGTTATAATCCTCTCTATATATACTATGTCTTGGATTACATTATTTCCTTATTAATACAATTATTCCATTATTCAATATGGTATTCAAGCTAAGGTATCTCTTCTAAAAAATATAGCCTCTGTTCTTCTTTGACAATGTGCCCCCACTGGTCTTCTTCGTCGATGATCAACTGCCACAGATTATGGCACCGACGATCTTTATCCCTCTCTTTTTAAAACTATGGGCTTGCCTAACAGCCACCGCCGATCTTGACTAGTCCGCCTAACAGCGGCTATCCATTATCCCTCTCTTTCTCTCCAAAAAACAATGTGTGCTTAACAGCCACCACCGATCTCAAAGAGCGTGCCTAACAGTCGTCGTCCATTAAACCTCTCTTTATATATCGCTAAAAACATAGTGCGTGTTCTTAACAATCACCACCAATCTCAAAGAGCGTGCCTAACAGATTGAGTAGTTGAATGTTGATGGCAATGTCTTAGGCGGGGGTAAAGGTAGTGGGTGAGCAAGCTATTAAAATCTCTCACGGTCTTCACCAAGCGAGCATGTGAAAACATGATCATGCCCTCCGATGTCATACTTCCGACTACAAAAGTTCAAGGGACTTATTTAATGGTAAATGGCTTAGAAAACATAGCCCAAACAAACGAAAAAGGTCTCAAAAATAGAACACCCGCATATCGTGCATTGTACAGCATTTCGAAAACAAATCTTGCACTAAGGCAATACCAATTGCAAAGTGGCACACGTCAGGATGACTTGTATTGTTCTCATTCCCTTCGAAGGTAGAGGTAGTGGGTGTTCTAGCACATGTAAAATCTCTCACGGTCTTCACTCACTCAAATATGATAATAAAACCCGACTTTTGCCTGAATTTAGTTATCCTCATCACAGTGCAGCAATCAATTCCTTTAGGGGTTGAGTTTCCAACTAAAGCATCAACCTCTGTCATACTTTAAGAGAAGCAAATGGTGTGGCAAATGCTCTTGCTAAATTTGGTGTTTGTATCTCTTAGAATGTTCAAATTTATCTTTTTTGAATTCCTGTTAATGGGCATTTACTCATTATTTTTGTAAATGGGCTTTGATTTTGTTATTGGGTTGTATATAGTTAACCCATGAAATTATCTATATATAATGTTGTTAATCAATGAAAAAGGTAGAACAATTTTTCCTAAAAATTCTACATGGTGTCGGAGCCATACACAAGAAAAACATAACTCCAGTCGCTTCCTTCGTTTTTTGCCTTCCTTACCACACAAAGGGTGTCGCCGGCAACAACAGTTTCTCTTGTTTGAGTGTGGAACGCAGCACTATGATGGATGCTACGACGAATAAAACTCCTTCAATTCCTATCCATGACCCGTCTTCTTCGTATTATCTTTATCCTTCTGAAGGCCCATGTAATTCACTCACTAAGTATCTTTGGCATGGAGACAATTTTGATACTTGGGAAAAAGTGATTTTCAATGCTTTTAAAGGCTGCGGGAAGGAAAATTTTTTTTACTACTGAAGGCTTTCTTAAACCAATTGAGAAACAGGAACTCTCAGCATGGAAACAAATAACTTTATTATTTGTTCTTGGATTTTGAATAGCATTGACAAATTTGTTCAACCTAGTATTGTGTCTCACTATGTTGCTCATGAATTATGTTTGGATCTGAAATCATGTTATGGGGGATCTAATGGACCACATATTCATCAGTTGAAAACCGAGATGTAGAAATTGAAACAAAAAGGCCAATATGTGGTGGTCTTTTATGATAACTTTATTTCCCTTTGTAACCAATTATACGGGTGGAAAGACAAGACATGAGGCTCCAAGTGCGTCGCTGGTGCACTCCTCTGTGCCGATATGGAACAAGAAAAGACTCGCAATTTTTTTCTTGGGTTGGACTACGAGCAATATGGTGCAATTCATTTGCAAATTCTTAGTACATAGCCGGTCTTTGATATTAACAAAGCTTATTTATTGATCACTCAATAAGAACATCACCGTTTATTTGTCAGTGCATATGACGATAGAACCGATGCTATGGCATTCGTTGCTCGATCTCCACCACCCAATAATTACCAATGCACTCATTGTGGAAAATCTAGGCACATTGTTGATCATTGTTATATTATTGGTTTTCTAAGTGGTGGAAGAGGGGGAATGGGGGTCGTACATGTTGCTGAGGAGAAAGGCTGTGGAGGAGGAAGGGCAGGACGTGGAGGGGGAATAACACCCAAGGTGGACAGTGCTGCTAGGACAACTACTGTCGAGCAGCATGGTAGTAGACAAGATTCCATCGTGGCTTCCGGTATGGCTTTGGATTCTTTAACCTCAGATCAGGTCACCCATTTGTTATCCATGCTTGATGCATCATCTTCTACTGGAAAAATCAATGGTATGCCTCTAACCTTCGTCCAACGATTTGCTTGTTGACAGTGGTGCTTCGAAACACATGACGAGTAACTTTACATGTCTTTTTAATATTGTTGGCATTTCACCTAGCACCATCACTCTTCGTGATGGCTCACAAGTGGTATCAAAATTGTGTGGCAAAGTGAAGTTGTCACCTACTTTGACTATTTGAAATGTTCTCTTTGTTCCGGAGTTGAAGTGTAATTTGATATCATTTGGTTGCCTTAATAGAGCCAATAACTATCTTGAAATTTTTGATGATCCTTGTTTTGTGTTGCAAAACCATGTTTCCAAAGTGGGGATTGGACAAGGTAAAGCCAACAATGGAGTTTATGCCCTTCATCTCTGTGTTCTTGTCTCAACTTCATGTGTCGATCAAGCAACTCTCCTGCACTAGAGACTTGGTCATCCTTCTCATAGTGTTTTCTCTTTGCCTCCATTCAATAAAACTCCTTCTAAAATTAAAAAGATAGTTTCATGTGAGATTTTTTTATTCCAAACAAACTTGTTCTGTGTTTCTTTCCGGTTTAAATAAAGTAGATGCTATTTTTTATTTAATCATTGTGATTTATGGGACCCTTACACCGCTTGTTTGTTTCCTATTGCTCATTACTCTTTGAAAATTGTTGATGATCACTCCCTTGCAGTTTGGGTCTATTTGATAATTGATAAAAGTGAGGTGAGTAGTTGTATTAAACAACTTTTCACTTTTATCCATACCCAATTTCATAAAACAATAAAAACTGTGAGCTCAGATAATGCCACTGAATTTTTAAATCACCCTCTCTAAAATTTTTATCAAGAGTTGGGTGTCTAAGTTCAAACGTTTTGCGTCGGTACCCCAAACTTCTAACGTTCCTACTTCTTTCCTCAATGTTGTTCAACACGTGAATTGGCATGTTGCTACGCAGCAAGAAATTATAGCACTCAAAGATAATCATACTTGGGATATCAGCGATCTTCCCTAGGTCATTATGCATTCAGATGTCAGTGGGTTTATAGGACAAAAATTTGTTTCGGTGGCTCTAAGGAACGAGACAATGCGAGATTAATCATTTTGGGAAATCATCAGGATATGGGTATTTGATTTCACAGACACTTTTGCCCCCATTGCAAAAATGGGGACTGTTCGTATTCTTTTCTTAGTTGTATTGAGAGACCCATCAACTTGACGTGAATAATGCATTCCTTTGCAGTGATTTGTAGGAGGAAGTGTATATGAGAGAAACAACAGGCTATTTGCATCTTTATCAAGGAAAGGTCTGCACTTTACAAAAGTCTCTCTCCGCGTAATTGGTTTGAAAAATTGACCACTACTCTCTGCAATATGGTTTTTGTCAGGCACAGAAGGATCACACTCTCTTCGTCTTACGACGTCGACCTGATACTTTGGCTATTTTGGTTTATGTTGATGATATCCTTCTCATAGGAAATAACCCCACTTTGTGGGATTCCTTCAAACGATATATCCAGAACTGTTTTCATTTGAAAGATCTAGGTCGCATTAAATACTTCCTTAGGATCGAATGTGCTCGTTCACCAATAAGGATGGTGTTGTGCCGACGTAAATATATGTTGGATATTTTATTTAAAGCTGGTCTATTTAGATGCAAGCTGGTGGATACATCGATTCCGACAAATCATGGACTTGGGAGATCAGCAAGTGTCGTGTTGCATGATCCAATGCACTTTCAGTGCATAGTGGGTTGCCTCATTTACTTGACTGTTACTCGGCCTGATCTGGCATACTCTATCCGTGTTTTATCTCAATTTTTGTAGGCACCTAAGGTTGATCATCTTGCTGACACTATGTGAGTCCTACGGTACCTAAAAGGACATTCGAATTAGGCAAGTTGTCCTCTTACGCGACATTCTATGAGCGGGTACTTTATTATTTTGAGAGGATCCTTGATTTTCTAAAAAAAACTAAAAAGCTGGCCACGGTTTCTCATTTTTCCATTGAAGCCGAGAATAGGGCAATGGCCAATGCCTGTCCTGAGATTCGTTGGATACCCCATGTGTTGACAGCGCTTGGGGTGCCGATTGTGACACCTCTGAAGTTGTTTGTGATAACCAATCAGCCTTGTTTATCTGAGCTAATCCAATTTTTCATGAGGACATGAATCACATTGATATTGATTGTCATGTAGTGCGTGAATGAGTTAAGCGCAATGATGTTTCTACACATACACGATATTCCCACTCGTTTCTAGATTGCTAGTTTGTTCACTAAAGCTTTGTCTAAGCCGGGATTTCAGTTCTTGATGTCCATGTTTTGCGTTCATGACATTCACGCGCCAACTTGAATGGGAGTGTTTATGGAAATTTACTCGTTATTTTTGTAAATGGGCTTTGATTTTGTTATTGGGCTATATATAGTTAACGCATGTAATTATCTATATATAGTGTTGTCAATTAATTTATAATAAAAAAGTCAGAATAGTTCTTCCTAAAAATTTTACAATTACTCACCCAATTCTATTAAGGGCTTCATTTTAAGACATGTTTGTTCCATACCTTTGTATTCCTTTTTAATTAAATTCCATTTTCAACAAAAAAACAAAGAATGAACGTTTCTAGTTTCTACTATGGAGTTAAGATCCATATAAATATATAATAACTTATGTTGGATATTTTAAGTAAATTGGACATTTTTCGGACATAAATTCGGTAGGGTCCACAAAATTATTTTCCGAAATAATTATGGACGTTTAATCTCGTAAGTAAGACGAACGTCTTGACATATGACACGCCATAAACGGTGCTCGGGTGAATGAGAAATTAATTCTCAAAGTTGAACAAGTGGGAAGTGTAAAAACCCTTGTCCCACACCGGTTTTTGAACCTTTCGTATTCTCATATTTAAGCTTAGGCATTGAATTGAGCTTATGAAAGGAACAAGAAGAGGACTCCTCGCGTGCCGCCGTCGCCGCCGTCCGTCCGGCTCGGCACGACACGTCACGACACGCACGCGCGTCGGGTCGGGGCGGGGCGGGGCGGGGCGGGGCGGGGCGGGGCGGGGCGGGGCGTGGCGTGGCGATGCGAGGCGAGGCGAGGCGAGGCGACGCGAATCGAACACGCGTGGACACTTCGTGATTAACGAAGTGTCGTCCAAGGGTTGAAACATGCATGCATAAACGGACGAAGAGTCACTTGACTCTTCGTAATGTCCGACGGTCCAGCGAAGGGCAACCTTCCTCTCCTATAAAAGGAGGGGTTGGCCGCAATTCTTTGGCCGAGACTTCTCTCTGGCGACGCAAAGCTACAGTAGCCCGTCACCATTGCCATTGTAATTCGAGCTTCACTGGTTGGTGCCTCACCATTCTGAGTGTAGATTCTTGTTCCCCTCTCCTGGGCGACCATTTCTACCGGCGGAATTGCCCAGCCATGCCCTCGTCTGTGTAGGGTGTGCGTTGACCCTTACGCTTCACTGTTCACTGTCTTCCCCGATGCTTCTTGCGTTGCTTTTCTGAGTTGCTTCTGCTCCCATGGGTTCTGGCAAAGCCCAGAGTGCTAAGAAGGCTAAGAAGAAGCTCCCTAGGAGTCCTAGGAAGAAAAGGAGTGGAGATGATGTTACGGAGACACCTAGTCTGAATACGGACATTGCCATGGAACTACCTGAGAAGGAGATGGCTCCAACTGCTTCTTCCACGTCTGAGACATCCCCCCCACAGGTTGAAGACGTCCCAGACACAGGTGCTCAGGTGGGGATAACCTCTGCGCAAGAGACCCCCCAGGTGTTTGACAAAATGCCCGAACCAGAGATGGTTGCTGCCAAACCTTCTACGTTTGCTGACCTCTTCAAGGGCAATAGGGACCCTGACCAAGGTATGATTCTGAAGCAATATGATGTTGGTGAAGGTGTTCTTCATATCCCGGATTCAATTATCAAACCTGTTGAGGAGTTGTGGGGTTTCTGCCTTGTGGGTTGCTTTACTGGACGTTTCCCTGGCCTCAAGGCAATGGATGCTATTGTCAAAAGCTGGAATGTACCTTGTAGAATCATTCCCCATTGTAAGGGCTGGGTTATTCTAAAGTTTGAGAATGATAGTGATAGATTCGATGTGCTGGGCAGGGAAAGGGACAAAGCTTATGGGAAGGAGTTTAGACTCAAAATCCCTTCTCATGGTTTCATGTTTGATTTTGCTGAGTTCACCACTCTACCTGTCTGGGTTCAGCTACACAATGTTCCAATGCAGTTATGGTCTGAAGAAGGAATTGGAATGCTGGCCTCAAAAGTTGGAAAGCCTTTGAGAACTGACCTGGTTACAAAGCAGCAAGGCAAGGGTGGATTCTGCAGAGTCCTTGTTGAGGTTGACTTCTCAAAACAGCCTGTGACTCACTTTGAGGTAGCTTGTATGGGTAAGGCATACACACAAACAGTGGTGTTTGAGGAAGACCCCAAATACTGCTTTCATTGCAAAACCTGGAACCATGGCCCCTTCTACTGTAAAGCCTTGGAACAGGTTAGGAAGAAGGAGCAGGCAGACTTGGAGGCTACACGTAAGGCTAATATGGATAAGCCAAAGGAGCTTAAAAAACCCCTGGGAAGGCTGGAGCTAGGGACTGCGTACCTACTGGGAAAAATCCACATGTTGAACCTAAAGGGGGCTTGATTCCTTCTTCTTCCAACAACAAGGAGAAGGCTAAGGAACCCATTCCCAAAACTGGAGGCCTGGCTGTTGACAACATGGTTGGAAAGGGTGTTGATTTGCAAAAGAAGAAGAGAAATGAGGATGGAGACATGGTTGGGAAGAGACCAGAGAAGAAGAAAGGTGGTAAGGGCAATGCCCCTCCTCCTCCATGAAGGTCCTTTGCTGGAACATTAGAGGACTTTCAAGGTCCTCAAAACAGAAATTTTTGTGTAAATACCTTTTGGAACTTGGTGTCCATCTTGTATGCCTGCTGGAGACTAAAATCACAGCAGCCAAGTTGGAAAATTTTGTTATTACCAAACTGCCTGGGTGGAGATCTGCCACCAATTTTGATGTTTTGCCTGGCAGCCGCATTGTGATCTTGTGGAATCCTTCCTTTTTTGCTTGTAATGTTTTGAGAGTGGGTGAGCAATATCTTCACTGTGAAGTCCATTGCCTCACAACACAAAGGGAGATTTTTCTTTCCTTCATTTATGGCCTGTACACAGTTACCAAAAGGAGGGAGCTGTGGAACGACTTGTCCTCTCTAGCACAGAATATTTCCAAACCTTGGGCTTTGCTTGGTGATTTTAACTGTGTTTTGGCTAGCAATGAGAGAGTGAATTGCATGAGCCAAGGAGCATATTATATGACTGATCTGCAAGGTTTCAAGTCTTCTAACTGCTTAGAAGATGTTCCTTCTACTGGAAATTTCTTCACTTGGCATAAAGGGAACAAGCTTGCAAAGCTGGATAGAGTGCTTGCTAACCAATCCTGGGGAGACATTGGTTTGGCTCCAACATGTGAATTTCTAGATTTCAACTTCCTCTCTGACAACTGCCCCACCCTTTTACAGTGTGGTGCACCCCTTGGTAACAGGTTCAGGCCTTTCAGATTCTTCAATATGTGGCTAAAGCATGAGGGCTTCAATGGGTTGGTCTCCCAGTCTTGGGAGGCAGGTGTGGTTGGCTCTAAGCAATTCTCCTTATGCTCTAAACTTAAACGCCTCAAACCTCCCTTAAAATCCCTCAACAAGCAGGCTTTTGGTCATATTTCTAGAAGAGCTATGGAAGCTAAGGAAGAGTATGGATTGGTGATGAAGCAAGTGGTCCTGGACCCTAATAATCAAAGCCTTCTTGATGATGCTGATATCAAAAGGAAGAGAGCTAATTTCCTTCCTTATGTTGAATTGGCCTTCTATCAACAAAAAGCCAAATGTGATTTCCTTATGAATTCTGACAGATGCACCAGTTACTTCCACTCCATTGTTAAGAAGAACAAGAGGAAAAACACTGTTGGGTTCTTGGTTAGAGAGGATGGATCTAAAACTACTTCCAAAGATGAGGTGGCTAATATCTTTGTGGACTACTTTACTACACTGTTTGGCACTACTTCTTTAGTTGAATCCATTGAGCTGGAGATTTTGGCTGCTGGAACCAGAATTCCTTCTTCTGCCCAGGCAACTCTGCTTGCTTCTGTTACACCTGAGGAGGTGAGGGAGGCTGTCTTTGACATTGGTAATGACAAGGCTCCAGGTCCTGATGGATATACTGCAGCCTTCTTCAAGGATCAGTGGGCTGTTGTGGGTAGGGACATCTATGAAGCTGTGTTGGAATTCTTCACCTCAGGGAAATTATTGAGACAGATTAATCATGCTATGATTGTTCTCATACCTAAATCTTCCCATAATCCAACTGTTAAAGATTTTAGGCCCATTGCCTGCCTCAATGTTCTTTACAAAGTCATCACCAAGATTTTGGCTAAGCGTATGGCTCCTTTACTCCCTGATTTGATTGACCCTGCACAAGGGGCCTTTGTCCCAGGGAGATCTCTTGTGGATAATTTCCTCCTTGCTCAACACCTTATCAGGGATTATGCTGTTAAGAGGTCCACGCCTAGCTGTTTGATCAAATTGGATATCACCAAGGCATATGAAACTGTCTCTTGGAGTTTTTTGCAGGATGTGATGCATGGTTTGGGCTTTCCCCCTAGATTTGTCTCTCTTATTATGGAGTGTGTTTCCTCTGCTTCTTCTTCTATTATGGTTAATGGAGACAGCCATGGCTTCTTTCCTAGTCAGCGGGGGATTAGACAAGGGGACCCCATGGCTCCTACCCTTTTCCTCTTTTGTATTGAGTACTTCTCTAGGTTACTCAACAAAAGGGCTAAAGAAGGTGGCTTCAACTATCACAAGGACTGTGCAGCACTTGGGATTACGCATTTGGCTTTTGCTGATGATCTTATGCTGTTCTCTAGAGGGGATTTCCATTCTGTGCAGGTTTTAATGGATGCTCTGGACCACTTTTCAAGGGTGTCTGGCCTAACCCTTAATCCTACCAAGTTCAACATCTTTCTTGCTGGTAAGTACAGGGATGCTAGCCAAAATATTCTGGATCTTGCCTCCTTTCCTCGTGGTCAGCTCCCTGTTAGATATCTGGGTCTCCCTTTGGCCTCTCAAAGGATCTCTGAGAGTGATTTTGCCCCTTTGTTCAAAACTGTTGATGGTTTTCTGTCTAAATGGAGCACTTTGAAGTTATCCTATGCTGGCAAATTGGAACTGATTAGAGCAGTGGTACAGGGAGTCCAATCCTTCTGGCTCCAGGCCTTCCCTGTCCAGAAATATGTGCTTGACCGTATCACCTCCATGTGCAGAGCCTTCCTTTGGGGCAGCAAACTTGCCAAGGTTGCCTGGGTTGATATTTGCAAGCCAAGGGCTGAAGGTGGACTGGGTTTGAAGGATGCCAATACCTGGAACAATGCTCTGTTGTGCAAACTTCTGTGGAACTTGGCAGCTAAGAAGGACACTCTTTGGGTCAAATGGGTTCACAATGTTTACATTCAGGGTGAGAACCTGTGGCAGTGGCAACCCAAGAAGAGACACTCTGTCTTCTTCAAAAGGCTTGCATATGTGCGTGAGCTTTTGGTCCAAAAGCTTGGTGACCATTATCCTTCTATGGAAGAGGCTATGATTCCCTTTTGCTTGGCAGGTAACCTCATTCCAAGAAAGGTTTATGATTTGTTTAGGGTTAAAGCAAACCCGAAGCCTTGGATGGCTTTCATTTGGCAAAGCTATATTCCCCCTAAGTGCTCCTTTACGATGTGGCTGGCACTTAGGAGGAGGCTGCCCACCAAAACAAATTTGGAATTCCTCGGTTTACCTATGGACTGCACCTTCTGTGGACATGGGTTGGAAGATGTGGACCACCTGTTCTTTAGCTGCCAGTTCTCTAAAGAAGTTTGGGACAACATCAAGACTTGGCTAGGTATGGAAGGACACCTGAGCACCCTCACCAGAACCATCAGATGGCTGAAGGCTTTTAGGCGAGGGGATGGGATTCTCAAGAAGGCAAGAAGGACTGCTTTTGCTTGCAATGTTTTCCACCTTTGGAAGCTACGTAATGCTGCCCACTTTGAGCGTGAACCTCTCTCTGTTGCGGCTGTGACTTCTAAAATCAAGGTTATGGTTTATTCTATCCTAGGAAGGATGTGGCCTTTGTACTCTGTAACCTTCTGATGTTTGTCTGCTTCTTGTCCTTGGCGTTTGTGCCTATGTTTTGTTTGTTGTCTTGTTGATTGGCTTTTGGACTTTTGGTGTTGTTTATTTATGGATTTGGAAACTGCCATTTCCAAGCTCGGGTATGCCCGTTCTAGTTGTACATTCTTATTCTTTTTTCTATTTACATTTTTATCAGGGGAGGGGTTGGCCGCAGAGATGTACACACAAGTACAAATTCTCTCTCTCTCTGCAGTAACGTATACTCTTCCGACAAATCCCCAATTTTCCGATCATCTTCTCCGGCAGTAACGTCCCATCGTTCTCGTTCGCCAGTGCTTTGTTCTACCGCTCTAGACCTAGCACGCTGCGGTTTTATCCTGGGAGGAGATTGCCCACGTTTGCCAGTGCGGGAGGTGGGCAATACTACCTTAAGGAAAGCTTCAGCAACTCTGCTTTCCTACCTACACTTCGAGAAACTTCTCCGGCGACGACCGACCCTTCGTCTGAAGTCATTGCCTTCCTGTTCGTTCGGGTTCTTCCAGTCCGTTTGAGCTTCCGGCGACTCTAATTTTCTTTTCTTTATTTTCGTTGTAAAATCCGAACGTTTTATAAGTTCGGATTATTATTATATTTTTATTTATTCCCGCTGTACTTATTCAACAATCTTAAGGTAGTATTGATGGAGTTCGGATTCGGCATCGTGGGTTCCTCCGGCAACGGGATGAGTTCTGAAATCCCGGTGGAAACCTCTTCGGTTGCCATGGTTGTGCCGTCCTCACCGCTACCCTTCAGGTCAAGTGTTGGGGCCGCAACCGTGACGTCGTTCTCAATGCCGAGCTCGATCTTCGGGTGGGCCCCGCGACCCATTCCCGGGCTCGAAACCACGGGGGATTACCCCGTTGGTAATTCGAACCCGTTTCTCGGACCGACTATGGCTTCGGCCTCGACGGTCAACTTTGGACCGAACGTGGGTTTCCCCGCACCGGTCAATCCTTTTGTTGGACTTCATTGGGCGAGCAACGGGCCTTTCCTCCATACGCCTAATGCGGTTGGGGCCATTTCAGTCCCCGCTAGCTCGGTCCAAAGGCCACCAAAGTTCAATGACACGAACTTCAAAATGTGGCAACAAAAGATGATGTTCTTCTTGACCGTCCTGGGATTTTCTTAGTACCTGCAGCAAGATCCTCCACAGCCCAACGATGCCAACGACCCCCTCGTGGCGATGGTGAACCAAGTGTGGTACCACAACAATTATCTCGCCATCAATATTATCCTCGAGGGGTTGGCCGAGACGTTGTACCCCATCTATGCCGGTGCAAAGTTCGCTAAGGAGCTTTGGAATAGCTTGAACAAGAAGTATCAAGCTGAAGATGCCGGCACGAAGAAGTTCATCGTTGGGAAGATGCTGGACTATAAAATGGTTGACAGCAAATCTGTTGTCGCCCAAGCTGAAGAGCTTACGGTCATCTTCAATAAATGCAATGAAGAGAAAGTAGGCGTCAGTGACGAATTCCAAGTGGCAGGCATCATCCACAAACTTCCCCGATCGTGGGAAAACTTCCAAGCCGACCTCAAGCTCAAAAGAACGGAGCTAAACCTGGAGCAACTGCTCACACGATTGAGAATCAGAGAGGAGGGGCTTGCTAGAAGAAGTGGAGGGGCAAAGGCGAATGTTGTAGAACATCCGTCGGGCTCTTCACATGACGGGAAGGACAAGAAGAAAATAGGTCATAAGGGTGGTGTTTCAAAATTTGCAGGGAAGTGCTACAACTGTGGCATTACCGGGCATCGTTCCTCTGATTGTAGGAAAAAGAAGCCACAAAAGGGAAAGAAGAAAACCACTGAAGCCATGTGTGCGGAGCTTGACAACTTGGACCTCTGCGCGGTTGTCACCGAGGTGAATCTCGTCGGGTCAAACCCGAGGGAGTGGTTTGTGGACACAGGAGCCACACGCCATATTTGCTCAAACAGGAGCATGTTTCACGACTTCCAAGAGACCTCCGATGACAAGGTCTAGATGGACAACTCGGCCCAGTCAGAGGTTCAAGGGGTGGGCAAGATTAAGCTCAAAATGACCTCAGGCAAAGAGTTAACGCTTAACAATGTGCTCTATGTGCCAGATATTCGCAAGAATTTAGTGTTAGGATCATTGCTGATCAAACACGGCTTTCGGATGATGTTTGAATCAGACAAGCTAATTTGTCCAAGAAAGGGATTTTTATTGGGAAAGGTTACATTTCTGATGGGCTTGTCAAGCTTAATGTAATGACTGTTCATGAAAAGATCAATAAAAATCCTTTTGCTTATGTGTGTGAGTCTTCTAGTTTATGGCATGGTAGACTAGGACATGTTAATTATGCTTCTATTCGGAAATTAATTAACATGGAACACATTCCTAAGTTTAGTATTGACTTAACTCACAAGTGTGAAACTTGTGTTGAGGCAAAGTCAACTCGAAGTTCCTTTCAAACGATCGAACGAAATACTCAACCTCTAGAGTTGGTTCACACCGACTTGTGTGATTTTCGAACAACGCCTTCAAGAGGGGGTAATAGTACTTTATTACCCTCGTCGATGATAGCACGAAATATTGCTATATCTATTTACTAAAAAGTAAAGATGAAGCATTAGACACTTTCGTTCGATATAAGAACGAAGTGGAAAATCAACTCAATCGCAAAATCAAAGCATTGAGAAGCGATAGAGGTGGTGAGTATGATGCTCCACTTAATGAGTTTTGTGCACAACATGGAATAGTGCATCAAGTAACCCCACCGTATACACCGCAGTCTAATGGAGTAGCGGAACGGAAAAATCGCACTCTGAAAAACATGATGAATGCGATGCTACTTAGTTCTGGATTACCCCAGAACATGTGGGGGGAGGCTGTTTTATCAAGTAATTATTTACTAAATAAAATACCTCGTAAGAAACTTGACAAAACTCCGTATGAACTTTGGCATAATAGGAAACCTTCCTATAAGTATCTCAAGGTGTGGGGGTGTCTCGCGAAGGTACTTGCACCACCACCGAAGAAGATGAAGATCGGTCCAAAAACAGTTGATGGAATCTTCATCGGGTACAATAGTACGTCATACCGGTTCTTGGTGTACAAATCAGATAATCCTGAAATTCACAAGAACACGATCATAGAGTCACGGAATGCAACGTTTTTCGAGCACATTTTTCCGTGCAAGTTAAGTGGCGAAGCTAGTTCGTCCAAACGTCCTCATACTGAAATGATGGATAACGATGATCCAAATCAGTTGAATTCCAGTGACGATGATGAAGTCGAACATGAAACTGAATTGAGACGAAGTAAAAGAATACGAACTGAAAAGACGTTCGGTTCTGACTTCATAACGTATCTGATAGAATTTGACAAAGGAACTTTGTCATTTCTAATGGAAAATGAACCCGATATTCTAACCTGTTTGGTAGAAAAAGAACCACAAACCTATCACGAGTATGTAACCTCAACCGAGGGACCTCAGTGGCGAGAAGCCATAAAAAGTGAAGTTGATTCTATTCTTCAGAATCACACGTGGGAATTGGTTGATCTCCCACCAGGGTGTAAGCCATTAGGTTCCAAATGGGTTTTTCGAAGGAAAATGAAGCCTGACGGCTCCATTGACAAGTACAAAGCTAGACTTGTGATCAAGGGGTATAGCCAACGCGAGGGCTACGACTACTTTGATACTTACACGCCTGTGACTAGGATAGATTTTATCAGAATGATCATCGCATTTGCATTCTTACGGAACCTGGATGTTTACCAAATGGATGTGAAGACAGCCTTTCTAAATGGCGAACTAGATGAAGAAATCTATATGGAACAACCCAAGGGGTTTAAGGTTCCGGGCCAAGAAAAGAAGGTATGCAAACTTGTGAAATCATTATATGGTCTTAAACAAGCGCCAAAACAATGGCATGATAAGTTTGACGAGGTAATGATGAACAACGTTTTTAAGATAAATGAGTCGGATAAGTGCGTATACTTTAAGGACACATCTGAAGGGTATGTCATTTTATGTCTGTATGTAGACAACATACTCATCGTTGAAAGCAACGACATGATGGTTAAGTCCACCAAGGACATGTTGAACGCACGATTTGATATGAAAGATTTGGGTCTAGCTGATGTGATTCTTGGAATCAAAATAATAAGAAGAGCAGATGGTCTGAGCGTGAGCCAATCCCACTACATTGACAAAATCTTTGATAAATTCAATAAGGATGATACAAAGATAGCTAAGACGCTGATAGACGTAATTGCTCACCTTGGTAAACACCGAGGGAGTAGCGATTCTCAGACAGAATATGCTAGAGTTATCGGAAGTCTGATGTATCTGATGAGCTGCACAAGGCCGGATTTAGCTTGCGCTATTAGCAAACTAAGTAGGTATACTAGCAATCCAAGTGCTGAGCACTGGAAGGCCATAATCCTAGTAATGAGATACCTTCGGTATACTCGAGATTATAGCCTATGCTATGGCCGGTATCCACCCGTGTGCTGGAAGGATACACTGATTCTAATTGGATTGCGGATAATAAGGATTCAAAATCCAGAAGTGGATTTATCTTTATGTTAGCCGGTGCAGCTGTATCCTGGAAATCCTCAAAACAAACGTTAATTGCCAGATCCACCATGGAGTCTGAATTCATAGCACTAGATAAGTGCGCAGAACATGCCGAGTGGCTTCGGAATTTACTTGAGGATATTCCAAACTGGGAAAAACCAGTTCCTCCTATTTGCATGTATTGTGGCTGTCAGTCAGCAATAGCACGAGCTCGGAACAAATTGTATAATGGTAAGTCTAGGCACATTTTCCGTAGACACAAAACCATTAGACAACTTCTCAATACGGGTATTATCTCGATTGACTATGTCAAGTCAAAAGATAATTTAGCGGATCCATTAACCAAAGGTTTAACCAATGAGCAACATAAGAAGTTAGTAGTAGGAATGGGTCTGAAAGCCCTACCCTTTGCTGGGAACGTTCCATGAAGGAAAACCCAACCTAGGTGGTACATGGGTTCAATGGGACAACCTACTTGTGGAACGAAGCACGGTCACTGTGGGGGCAAGCCGGATCACCGACTTAACACCCCTCCGTTCCTACTGAGATATAGTGACTCCCGAAACTGATGAGGTTAGCATGACGCTTTAATGGTTCTTGAACTATGGACAACGAGGTCCAAGTGGAGTAATCGGGATACTCTTAGAAGAATCACCTATGTAAGAGTGAAGTACGGTCGCTTCAACAGAAAGATTTTGGGCTGATCCTGTCTGACACTCTCGCAGAACCAGATGCGTGTTCCACGACCATAATGGGCACACCCATGAGAACAGAATGATGGTTGGTTGAAACTTGTGTATTGTATATCGTCGTTTACATAAACGGCAGTACACTTCAAAGACATCACGTTCTACTGAACAGCCAGTAGAGAAGGTATACTTTACAAGGAGTAGGTTCAAAGGCATAAAACCTACCTACTCTTGCAGGTTTCAACATCAGAGTTATTGCCAGTTGCATGAATTAATTTTCATTCATATGGGGGATTGTTGGAAATTTTAAGTAAATTGGACATTTTTCGGACATAAATTCGATAGGGTCCACAAAATTAATTTTCGAAATAATTATGGGCGTTTAATCTCGTAAGTAAGACGAACTTCTTGACATATGACACGCCATAAACGGTGCTCGGGTGAATGAGAAATTAATTCTCAAAGTTGAATAAGAGGGAAGTGTAAAAACCCTTGTCCCACACCAGTTTTTGAACCTTTCGTATTCTCATATTTAAGCTTTGGCATTGAATTGAGCTTATGAAAGGAACAAGAAGAGGACTCCTCGCGCGCCGCCGCCGTTCGTCCGGCTCGGCATGTCACGTCACGTCACGACACGCGCGCGCGTCGGGTCGTGGCGTGGCGAGGCGCGGCGCGTCGCGCCCGCGTCTGCGTCTGCGGCGTGAAGTGTCGTCCAAGGGTGGAAGCATGCATGCATAAACGGACGAAGAGTCACTCGACTCTTCGTAATGTCCGACGGTCCTGCGAAGGGCCAACTTCCTCTCCTATAAAAGGAGGGGTTGGCCGCAGAGATGTACACACCAGTACAAATTCTCTCTCTCTGCAGTAATGTATACTCTTCTGACGAATCCCCAATTTTCCGATCAGCTTCTCCGGCAGTAACGTCCCATCGTTCTCGTTCGTCGGTGCTTTGTTCTACCGCTCTAGACCTAGCACGCTGCGGTTTTATCCTGGGAGGAGATTGATCACGTTTGCCAGTGCGGGAGGCGGGCAATACTACCTTAAGAAAAGCTTCGGCGACTCCGCTTTCCCACCTACACTTCGAGAAACTGCTCCGGCGACGGCCGACCCTTCGTCCGAAGTCACTGCCTTCATGTCCGTTCGGGTTCTTCCAGTCCGTTCGAGCTTCCGGCGACTCCAGTTTTCTTTTCTTTATTTTCGTTGTAAATTCCGAACGTTTTATAAGTTCAGATTATTATTATATTTTTATTTATTCCCGCTGTACTTATTCAACAACTTAAACATTTGACATAATGAAAATACTGTGCGTGTAATAAAAAAAGTTAATTAAATAAATGCTTATTACAATATTACTAAAATGCTAATATAGATAATAAGAAGCTCCATGAAGTTTTAGGTAAATCTTAAGTCCACCTAATACTTTACCTCAAAAAGGAGGAATATCGAAACTTTGAAGGTAAATTAGGGGTGAGGAAATTTAAAATATCAACGCACAATTTTTTGTAAACTAGACTGAATCATATCTGAGCACCTAAGATTTCCGACCAGCTAGTTCTTATTGGTTCACACCGGTTCAAAGCATATAGTAGTCCAAAAGGCTAGCTAGACCCGGCCAATTTGGCCACTAGTTTGTCAGTTCTCAATTAAAACCGGTCAGACCAGTTTAAGGGTGAGCAAAGACCGAACCGATCCCAATATTTTCCGAAAAAACCGAGAATACAGAACTGAAAAATACCGAACCGATAAAGTACCGAAAAGAAACCGAACCATACCAAACCGAACAATCGGTCTGGTATTTGGGAACGGTACGAGGTTACTTCCTGTACCGAAATTCCCAAACCGAACATATATACTAAAATATTATAAAAATAATAATCTTTTTTATATTTCTTCATTAAATAAAAAATTTATATAGACAATTTAGTTTAATTTCATTATGTTTAAGTTGCACTTTAATAAGAGTTTTATTTTTTGTAGATGAGTATAAGAATATTAACAAATATTTGAAATAATACTTTGTTATCACTCGTTATCTTTAGTTTGTGAAATATAAACTAACTTTCATAAGCATTTCTTGCATTTTATTTTCTCATTTTTAAATTTTTTTTATCTTTCTTTGGTTATATGTACTTTCGATTTTTTCAAAAATAAATGGTTTTGTTACATTTTATGATGTAAACTAGGTACATATATATTCATTTCGATTCGTACTGAAACCTATACCGAACCATCTCGAACCATACCAAACCGATGCTTCAGGGCGTAAAATCGCATACCGAACCGAAATATTTGGTACGGTATCGATACGAGCTAAATACCGTACCATACCGTACCACGCTCAACCCTAGCCCAGTTCGCACTATGGTTTAAATAAATTATATTCTTAGTGGATTATATTCATCACGTTTACAAAATAGTACAGGACAAGTTTTCAATATAATAATTGGAAAACAATTTTTTTCGAACTGAACTGTCTTCCAATGTCAAATTAATCAAGTAATTATGCATTTTTGTTTGTTAATTTAAAGAAAACTGCAAAAATAGGATTAAAACATTCTCCACATACCAAAACATAGCTTTCAATGTTTGTATAACAAAGCATGACTTATAATGCCAAATAATACTCTAAAGTCCAAACATAAAATGTCAAATTATTTTGGTATTACGAGTTTAAATTTCTGTATTATAACTCGAAAAATCAGGTTAGCATTTTGCTTTGTCAAAATTTACAACCAAACAAAATGTTTGTCAAGTAAGAATGATAGGTGTATAGAATATCGGTGCACTAAAATATTTTAAAAAGCTGTTTTTTTTAATAAAAATATTATTCCGCATTAAAAATATACGTAAATTAAAGCACAAAGATATGCATGCATGTATCATGTATGGGATGAGGGAGAGGGAAGGAGATCCAATGGAATACATACATGGTGAAAGGATCGGGACGAGTGGGATCCTTTAGAACGCGGGTCTCCGGGTCTTGAATTTGGCCAACCTTCCTCAAGAAAGATTTGTTAACAAATTTGTCAGCTGAACCCACCACGGTTTTAGGATCATCAACTTCCACCAAATTCTCTCTCTTCTTCTTCATCACTTGCACCGATGGAGAATGAATCAATTGATTCTTTGCTGTGTGAACCGCCATAAACACCACCACCGAAACGAATCCACCCATCATCCATAGAGGTATTGCGTCTCCCGTCGTCAACCTTTTTTTTTAAAAAAACAAATTACATAATATATGCATGGTCGTTGGTTAATTTTTATACGGAATATATTGATGATAATAATAATAACAAGAACAACAATAACAATACTCACTAATAAATAATAATAATAATAATAATAATAATAACAATAATAATGGTAATTATAATAGTGGTAGTAGTAGTAGTAGTAGTAATAATAATAATAATAATAATAATAATAATAATAATAATAATAATAATAATAATAATAATAATAATAATAATAATAATAGTAGTAGTAGTAAAAGATTTGCGTACCATGATTTGGTCTTCTCAGAGGGAGAATCAGATATGGTCCTGGGTGCAAATCTAGGAGTTGTTGAAGAGGCAAATCGTCGATTCTGGCCGGCACCAGCGATGGCACTCGCCATCATTTGTCTCCACTGCTTCTAATTAATAACCCATAGTTTTAGAAACTAGACATGTCAAAGTCGGAAACAAAAAATTTACAAAATTCAAATTTCACTAAAAGAATAAAATGATTTTAGAAAATTAAAAGGATGGAAATTCAAATTGAATATAATAAGATTCTAAACTTTGTGATTTTTTGTTTGCAACTCTATCATTATACTTCTCTTTAGAAATTAAACACCCGCAAGCAATTCTTTAAGCTTAGAATATAATATTTGGAAAATAAATTGGGCTATGAAAAACAATGTATAACAAGAAAGTTGATTTCTTCAATAAAATAAAGAATGGAACTTGACTAACCGTCGCTGCAAAGGCCATACTTCCGAAGTGAAAATAAAAAAAATAAAACAAGAATTTCCTATGGAGATTATGTATATTCTTGAAAATGTTTCGTGGAAGAGACTGATTGAAAACATTTATAGGGAAGTTAATTAAAAAGGCCTAAAAGCACGGCCTTGAAGGGACCTAGTAAAAGTATAAAACAGAGAAAATTCATGGTCTTAATTCATCTTGAATATAGATCCGATAAATCAGGCATACAGAGAAAGAAGGGTAGTTTTCCAACAAATCCTCTCATCGTTTCTATTCAAAATAGGGTGGATTCTTTCATATTCATAACTTACTATTGATATCATATTCACTTTCCTCACTCAACTATAATCAATCTTCTATTTTAGAAATTTTGAGTTTTATATTTTTTTTACATGTAAGACACCATGTATAATATTAATTTAATATCAATAAGTTTATCTAGAAATATAATTTTGAAATGTTATATTTTTGTAATATATATCCATATATAAACAAAAAGTTATCCTCTCTACGTTCCGCATTTTTCTTCCCACTTTACTTTTTATGCTATCTCATTCATTTCTCTACCTTTTTAATCACAAATTATGAAAAAACTAAATTGAATTATGAGATTAATTTCATAATAATAAGTTTATCTTAAAATATAATTTTGAAATATTATATTTTTGTAATATATATCTATATATAAATAAAAATATTAACATAAAGTGTTACATCAAAGACCGTGCAAGTTAAAATTGAACAACAAAGACGGAGAGAGAGTATTCTATTTAGGGCATGTTCTTTAGGACTGGAAAAAAGGTAGATGATGGAAGAAACAGAAAGAAACTGGTAGACTGGAAAAAACAGCAAGAAACTAAAAAAACTTAGATGGAACTTGAAAAATTAGAAAAACTTGGAAAATCTAAAAAAACAACTTCAAAAAATTTATTTAAGTTTATTTCATATGTTATCCTTTTTCTAATTTTGTTATTATAAGTGATTATTAATATAATTAATAGTATTATACTCATATTCATAATCACGTTATCTTAATCAATACCTTTAAGATAAAAAAGTATTGTCATTTTTTATACACAAAAATTTACTTTAGCAAATTCTTTTTAATTAGAATATAAAGTTGGCATAAATATTAAAATGTTAAATTCTAAAACTTTAATTATTGTGGTTACGTTG